GCACTGTTTATATTATATAATGCAATAATTGTTCTACACTTGTTATACTGAAGTCTGAGGTAAAGCACGTAAAACAATTACAAATCTTTTTTTATTTAGCAGAAAAGAGCCGTAAGAATTATTACCAGAAAACTTTACAGTCACCCATCAAATATATTTTTATCAGTTGAAATTATTAAAGTTTTATGAGTTAGTTGATTATAATATTTTGCTGTTTATGTATAAGGCTCATAAAATAGTATTACCTTTGAACATCCAATCAAATTTTAAGAGGGAAAGTTGTTATAATCTTAAGGGATTGTAAATGTTTGTAAAAGCCCAAATTTGAACAAATTTAAAGGACAGGTGTACTACGGTCCAGGGAATATGGTTTTGGAATAAATTGGATAGTGACTGTAAAAATGCTGGTTCCATTGATTTGTTTAAAAGAATGATAAAAACTAATTTGTTAAAGAAATATGAAACTGTATATTTTGTATTTATAAGAACTGCTGTTTAGGTGCTGAAGTTTCTGCATTTTTTTTACTTGAACATTGTTATTGTTTGACATTATTATTATTGTTAATAGTTTTATTTTTTAAATAGGGGTAGATACTATAAGATTTTTTCTTCTTTCTGCTACCTTTCATTTTTCATTTACCTTTCATGCCTTTGATTTGTATGTTTTTTGTATGTGAATTTGTTTAGCTTTTTTGATTAAATGAATTTAAAAGAAAGTGGACCCAGTTGACATGACATGGTTAAGTAAATCCAACATCTGTTTTTTAGAGTGTAGATTGCTCCAGTTTCACCAGCGTGTGCAGCCACATCAAATCATTTATTCATGGGACTTTCTCCTCCCAGCTTTCAAAAGATGGCGTGAAACGGGTCACTGACTCTACGAATGCATTCCACAGCAAAGAGCTTTACCATTCCACATTTTAATAAAGGCAAGATGTAAAACAGGCTGTAAACGTCTCAGGGCATTTTATTTACAGTAAAAACAAGCAAAAACAAAACATTCATTTCCTTGTAAATCCTGATGACTTTTTACTGGCTTTAATTACACCATCAACGTGTGACATAAGGCAACTGAAATGACCAACGGGATGTAGTGTGGGGCTCTCTCCTTTTACAGAACAGTCTGAACAGCTTTAAAAATAAACTCTACAAAACTCTATCAAAATCTAATCTAAAACCAGGAAAGAAAACAAGAAAAAAATCATAAACTGGCAGTAATTTCAACATGTTGCTCCACCCGATTTCAAATCTTTTGGATTTATATTATACACTATGTACTCCAAAGTAATGTCTATTTACAAATCAGTAGTTGCGCTTAGAGTTTTTTTAACCACCTTTACAGCAAATACATATACACAGTTCAATCCTATTTGCATTGCAAATTTACAGCACTGAACAAGATGTGACCCAACAAACAGCTTTTACACATAACAGTATTATTCATGTCAAAGCAACATGTACAAGCAGAATGCAACGGAGTCACCACAAAGGAACAGTCAAACAGATTATTTGCCATTTTTACCAGGAAACAAATCAATAAATAAAAACATATTAAAGAGAGTAAAAAAAGAGACAGGTGGTTCAATAGACACGACAGCGAGCGGTCATATTACTGAGTGATTATTATATTAGAGGATCACACAGACGATGAAGTACAGCAGACAATGCCACCAGTTTTATCACACTACTGTCTCTTAAATGCTTCAGAGTATATTTGTTTCAAATTGAATCTAWGTTGTATCATTTTTGGCAATGAAACAGTAAAAAAAAGGAAAATCATTTAAATTATAGGACAAAAACAGATGAAAACATCAAGGCCAATTTTTGAGATGCTTCTTGAAGTCATTTCAAAGCYAAGCTTGCAGAGAACAACAAAAGAAATGCTTTAGCATAACTCTTTTTTTTGTTTTACTTTAGAAGCATGCAGTCTAAAAAATGTTTTTTCTTATATTAAAAACTTCATTATTCATCAACTTTATTAAGCAAATAGTTCAATAAGTTACCTTCATGTTGCAGCTGTCCTGACACACTCAGCAGACAGGACAATGACGTTCAGCAAGACAAACTAAAAACAAAGTATTTTACAAATATAACATTTATATTCAGAGTTTGAATGTGCACTTTGGAAAAACTGAAAGGTCAGGTAGAAAAATGTATAACGAGGCAACAGATGTGTGGCCAGGCAAAGAAAAGAGTTGGAAGGAAACAACATTGTGAACAAGCTGGCCCCTTTTTGTGCGTCCCCCTCCTTTAGTGCCCTGCAGGTTTCCTGGAAACGTCCTCCCTGAGCAGCCGACTGGACGACCTTCCTCTGGACTCATCTTCATCATCGTTGTCCTTCTCTGCACAGGTCGGGTCAAATGATTGTTTTTCTTCTCCCGGGCGGAGCGTGACTTTGGGGTTGCTTTTGGAATGAGACAGATGTGAGGTTAAAATAAAATATTCTTAAAAAATTAAATGTCAACAAGCAGCATAAATTTTTTTATGTGTTTATCTCTAATTTCTAATTCTGTTGCTTGAAATCATGAGTTGATTAAGGAGAAAGGCCAACCTGAAGATGAAGAATCAGGAGAAAATCAGGTGGGTAAAGCTAACAGTTCTGCACAAAGAAATGTACAGGTAAAATAAAAAAAGAGCACAAAATAAACAAACAAAAAAAGAACAAAACCCCAAAGAAAAACTTAAAGGAGAGTCAGTGATCCATTAACTGTCAGTTAATTTGTCTGATTTACTCAAAGCGTTCCCATTAGAAGAAAGAAAAACTTGTAGATTGTAGGTATTTTGAGGAAACAAAGCAGGCGACTCACTGACGACTGATTATCATGAGATCGCTCCAGTTTGATCCGGACGTCGCTGGTCTTCCCTCGATCAGGTTTCCCAGGTCCTGCAGGACAAACAGCAGAATGTTAAACCATCAACAGCAGCCTGACCTCAGTTCTTTAAAGCAACTGGAAAAAGCAATTTGCAATCTTAAGTTAAATAATAAAACTGTTTCACTTTAATTATTAAAAAAAATCCCTGGTGAATTGATGTTTTATGGATGCATTGTTTTGTATTATTTATATTGTTTTATGAATTAAATAAATTAAAACAAAAACAAAGATAATTTATTTTTCATGAACAGAGCACAAAGTCACCCATCATTAGATAATGTTACTTTGTAAAAAGATTTTTTTTCTCCAGAAGTGCCTTGCAGTTCCACAAATGATCAAATAAAATAGTTCCAGTTTTTTTTTTATCTCACATCCTGTTGAATTCCTCATTACAATGATAAATCTAAAGGCAGCAAACATCATTTATAAAGTGGGCGCAAGAGAAATCTTGCAAAAATGAAATTGGTGTTCTGCGTTTTCACAAGAATCCATCTTCCCTGAGACCTTTACCACCCTCCTGTTTACTCCATAATGACCTTTCCTTAAGCAAGATAAATCTTATCCATCAAAAGTTGATTTTCAGTCATAATAACATTTCTCTTGGTGACTGAATAAAATCTACAGTGTAGTAATTCTTGCATCAAATTAGTGAACATCATGCTATAATGAGATATTTGGCATATTTTATTTGAAAAAGAAAACAGAAGTGGAAAGTCTAAAAAATGTATGTATTAGATTAAGGGAATGTGGATGAGCCGTCTCCGTCAGCTGATCTGATTTGGTCCAAGTTTTGGCCAAAAAAAAAAAGAAAGAAGGAAAGAAAGAAAGAAAGAGAAATCAGAAACCTTGTGAGTAAAAAATGCAATATTTTGACCTTCAAAGTGAACTTTTTAAAAATGCAACTAAAGACACAAATCCAAATTCAAGCTTCAGCAACCACTGACTAATGTTCTAAAGTAAAACTTAAGTCCACACTTAAGTTAAACTTAAAAGTTTTGCTTTTTCCGGTATGTGCTTATATGATTCATCGATGAGCGCTCGTACTTCTAACTGCTATGAAGCAAGATTTGCTCCGGAGCAGGTGAGGAGTTCATCTGCAGCCTGTAAAAGGCTCCATCTGTTCACTGATTCATTTTTTAAAATGATATTCCACACAGAAAAAAATCAGGCATTAATATGTCATCACACAGTTACAGTACTTTAAATATGAATAATTTAACGTACAGGTACTTTAGGAGCTATGCTGTCAGAGACAACTGTCCTTGTTAGGGTCTCCCAAGGCAGACTGGTCCTGTGGGTGGTTTCACTGACAAAGATCAATTCACAACACTTGTATGGACCAAAACAGAGGTGCCCAAAGTGGGGCACGCGGGCCAAAATTGGCCCACCAAGCCATTTGATTTGACCCACCAGCAGTTGTCCTGGTTACTGGATTGTAATCTCCTGTTTTATGTAGAAACACTTCTGTATATTTCCACTTAGGTTTTTCAACCATTGGTCCATATGTACTGGAGTCAGATAGTCTTAACTCATGGTACTCACTTTATCTTTGAATCATRTTAAGGTTAAATATAAAATACAAGTAACTACAACAGACATTTAAATTAGATTTAAATTAGATTTAACTAGATTTGCACACCTTATTAGACCACATATCTTCACAGAGGTGTCAAAATTCACATTCATTACTTAAGTAGAAGTATAGATACCAGGGTTTAAAAATACTTTTTTGGAAGTAGAAGTATTGACTCAAGCTTTTTACTCAAGTAAAAGTATAAAAGTACTGGTTTTAAAACTCCTTAAAATATAAAAGTAAAAGTAAAGAACACTTAAAAAAGCCATTAAGGATAAAAACTCAGGCTGTGCCACAGTGTTCAGTCGTTTCCAAAGTTGGGGTCGGGACTCATATTACTGTATTTGGCCCCTCAGACTGATTTTAATTTTGGCCCTCTCAGGGAAAATGTTTGGGCACCCCTGGACTAAAAAGTACAAAAGAGCTTRAAGTCCTTTGTCCAGAGTTTACACTGGCCCCAACCTGGCTCGTCTGGTGACTGGTGACAACCCATAGAGCCCAGTCGGACTCAGCCCAAATGAACTAGATGGGTTTGTCCTACTCTGGTCTCATCACCTGTAGGTATGGATGAGTGAAAAGCTCTATGATTCTCAGTCAGTATGTTTTGGCCCTCACCTGTGGTCACAAACTGAGTTGTGACTGAAAAAACAAGTGATCAAAAAGAGTTTTCTCCACAGTATTGTGAAGTGTTTATATTGTATTAAACACAGACTCTAGCACGTGATATTTAATGTGTTTTTTTTTTTTACTAAACCATAAATGGAAGTCAATGCAAGGTCCCCACGTGGATAGAAAAACAACCTGTGTGTGTCTGTCTGCTGTGAGTGTTTCATTGAGGATCAAACCCTCCTTTTCAAGCTGTCAGTACAACTTTACAAGTCTTACATCTTCTTGTCGGTGGAGCTGTTTTACCACCAGCTGGTAAACGAGAACGTCCGGCTGCCGTCGCTCTGAACTTTAGTTTGCTCTTAATCAGTCAACTGACTCTGCTCTCAGTTCTCAAGAATCCTGACCCATCACTCTGCAAACACACACACCTACCTGTCTGCCAGCTGTTCTGCTGCCTCAGTCCTGCATGCTCCACAGATTATTTCACTCTGAACATATATAAAGTAGCAGTTCCCCATCTGCACCTGTTAGCGCTGAGAGTTTTAACAAACACAGCCTGTTCTTCTGAAAATCATCAGATACTCAAGCAGGACCAAAAAAAAAAAAAAAAAAAAACAGCCTCCAAACACTTTGCAAGATTGTAGGAAACCTTGAAAAGATCCTTTTAAAAGGACACAGTTTGAAGCAAAAAGAGCCTGCAATATTTTAAAAGGTGCTTAAAACAAATTCAACTACAATTTGTGTATTTCTTAGGGCTACTAAGTTTTTGCTTTGATGTCACATTTTAGAGTGTTTTCTGCACTGACCTGGGGAGCTGCCACGACTGTTGCTGCTCGTGCAGCTGATGCTGTCCTCCAGCCACGTGCTGTAGGTGAGGGAGTCCCGTTTGTGAGGCGTCCCGGCAGACGACAGACTCTCCTGGGGGAGCGAGCAGAAGGGACACATGGAACCACGTTGAAAAATGGACAAAAAGCAAATGTGGGACGTTTGAATTTGCTTTTATCTTTTTTGTCCTCACTTTCTTGAGTCCTGCACTCACCATGCCGGTGTCATAGTCCTCCGCCGCCTCCGTCTCGTTCTCCTCCACGACGCTGGCAAAGCTGCTGGCRTTGGAGGAGGAGCGGGAGAGGTCGTGGGCCTCAGGGATGGATGGGGTCCTACCACAAAAATAAGAACTACACCCTGGGTGACCACTCGTCAGCACAGCCCAATGAGATTTTGTAAGAGCCACTTCGGCACAATGTTTACCCAACAGAGGAGAGTCGTTTAGTGTTTGGACACGTCACAYTGTTGGCAGTATCTTTTTCGTCAAACACACCTGTTCTTGGCGGTTGTGAGGACTTCTGGAGAACTCTGGTCTGAGTTATCAGACTTTGGATCTTGAGAAACATGGCCACTGTCAGGAGTCTTCTGAGTATTTGGAGATGGATCTCTGCTGCTACATTAAATAAAATCAAATGGATTGAAAGACAATAAAGTTAACAAGTTGATAAAAAAGTAGGGCTGTCAAATGATTAATATTTTTAATCTGATTAATCTCAAAGTAGCTGTGAATTAATCATGATTAATCTTAAATTTAATATACATTTCTATTGCATATTGATAAAATAAATTACGTGAGTTATTAATTAGTTTTTGATGTTTTTATTTAGAAAGCAAAATTGATGCTTAGACATGATTTTTTTGAATATAAAACAGAACCTAAAAATGCTCCAAACATATTTGAATCAGTTAAATTTTGTGCAGAATAATGATTAAATCAAGAATTCAAGAATTTTCATTCCAAATGGGTACTACATGAGGAATGAAAGATAGATACTAAGGTCACAGTTGTCAGCAAAACAAATAAATAAAATAACAAGACAAAAAGAAAAAAAATCTGTACATAATGTGTTACACATGGAGTTTTTTG